CACAGAGCACCCTATTTCCAGAGGTTGACTTCAAATATGGATTGAGAGGAATCGATATCTGAAGCCCCTACCCAAATATTATACAAAACTTCCTGGACAATTATATATGTGTGTGTGTGTGTGTATGTGTGTATGTGTGTGTATATATATATATATCAATACATATCAATAATATATTTATCAATATAAATAAAGAGCAAGGTTTTAAGTTCAGGTTTCCCCCAAAACATACTGTTTTAACATGTTAAAGCTAACAAACTGGTGTCTAAACACCTATTAAGGAGAATCTTATCCCTGTTTTGTTTTTCCACAGGACTGAGGGGAGGAGGGAAAAAAAAAGAAAGAGAGAATGTAAGATAATTAAAACCCTCAGAAAAACAAATTGCTAAAGCTCCTTTGTCCATTTCCTTTCAAACTTCATCCCAGTGAGCACGCTTTCAGTGCAAAGGAAGTTTGGGGAAGTTCAGCTGCATCACTGGTTGAATAGACATTTCTCAGAATGGGGAATTAATGAACAAAGTACAGGGCGGGAGGGAGGCGGGGAGGGAGATCAGCACTTTTTTCTGTCAAATGATGAGCAAACTATTTAGTATGAGAAGCCTTGTTGCAACTACCACCTGCTTGAAACTTCAAAACCACAGATTTGTTTTGTGTCTTTTTTTTTCCCCCCTCTAAGCAGCAAAACACCGGCTTAATTTCATAAGATGGTCAAATTAGTTCAGTAGCACGAAGACAGCAAGGAGTATATAGCGTCACCACAGACTTATCTGCAAGATCGCCAGGTCTTGCTGAAAGCAGGAAATGGCCATAAAACAAGAGACTTATGTTTCAAATGTATGACAGCATTTGTATCTTTATACCAACGAAAAGATCAAGCCTGTTGTCTGAACGTCACTATCAATCTTATCCTGCCCCATACAGAAACTTTCAATAGAGTTAATTGACTAATATTAATACTCACCAGTAACATTACTTGTAATAAAGACTTTGATATTATTCCACGTCAGCATTGCAGAAATTTATTGAGGAATGTGATTACAGCACCTCACTTGGTACAGGGGAACATTTTAAACCAAGAAAGTAAGCACAACAGCAAGGAGTATTACAAATACACAGTCTGTAGGAGTAGATTTACTGCAGAAACACTGGTGCCTTTCCCCAACACTCTCCCCTCCAGCATAACCAGACACTTGAGAGTAATTTTAAGATGAGATCTTCATCTTATGAATGAGAATCATATTGTGCTGAACACCACACTGACCACAAAACGGAGCTGCCCATCGAGCCTGCAGACGGGGCAGCTCCCACGTCGCTGGCAGGGCAGGGAACACATCCGAGGTGCCCACAGCAGCGGTGGACACCACCACAATGACACCATCAGCCAGCACCCGAGCTTTTGGGGCAGCATGCAAGGATGCTGTGTGTGGGAGAAGAGGTGCAGCCTTTCCCCTCCGTAGCGACCTTATCTCACTCTCTAGGAACCCGGGACCTGCTTCTGGGAATGCTTTTTCCAAGGAGGTTGCTCCTGCTCAGCGCAATGTTGGCATCTCCACCTCCTCTTGCTCCAAAGGATACAGGAGCCCCTGTTTCTGCACCACAGGGCCCACCCTCATCCCCTCAGCATCCGCTTATAGTCTGCTTCTATGCAAACCTTGCAGATTGATGTCCAAGTCCAAGCAGTTTGCCACAAACCTACCTTCTAACTGGGCACTCTCTTCCAGCAAACTGTACCAAATTCCTATGCACGTGCAAAAGGAATTAATACTAAATTAAACCAAAATTAATACCAAATTAAAAGAAACTAGCAGTAATTTTGCTTTTTTTTATTATTATTCTTTAAATCCAGATGGTATATGTGTATGTGCATAAACATACACACAGCCCTATATATATATATATTTAGATTATGTGTATATATAGGTTATATAATAATACACACACCCCCCATACATATATTTAGGTTATCTAAATATGTGTGTATATATATATTATATTTTATATATATTATATAAAATATATTTTATATTATATGTATATATTATATATATTATATATGTAAAAAGCAAAATGACAAACGTCATACAAACCTAAATCCAACAAGGCCTTTTTCTAGCCTTTGAGCCTTTAAAATGTTAAGAACATCATAGTTTTGCCTCATAAAGGCAGAAATAAAGTTTCAATGGATAACAAGTGACTGTATGTCATCCCCTTGGGAGATGCTGTCCGCATAAAGTAGAAGCAAGCCGATGTGAACATCATCCCTCAGTGACAGAAAGGTGCTTGGAGCACCAAGAAGCTAATACTGCCACTAGCAACTCTCTCTGCCATATGCCGACTCTTTGGAATATGCCGACAGTAAAGCAAATCTCTATTTATTGCAGATTCTCCTAATGAATTCTTGTAATGAACTCCTGCCCGAACCAGCTACAATCCATAAGCCATCAGCAGCTCCACTGCCCTGATAGTTTCCATAGATTCTTCCCCCTAATTTCCTCCGTATCGTCCTGATAACGCCACGAGAGCTAGAGAGAGTTCCCTTTCATTTGCAGCTCTGTCTTCAAACGAGGATACAAGTTATTTTTCTATCATACAAATGTGGTATTACCTATTGGGAGCAAAAAGAACTGAAGAATAATACCTAAAGAATAGTCATTCACAGTTCATTATGGAAAACTTAAGTGCAACTTAACTTTGAGCAGCCTGGTAAAGTTGTCATCAAGGAATAACTACAGGATAGGGACATACTTTGGAAATCTGTGGATAACATTAAAATGCAGGGTACCATAAACTGATCATAACTACAAGTTATCCATGAAAACTTTTTTTAAAGAAAAAAAATCCATATTTCATTAAAAAAAAATACTAGTCTATATTTAGGCCTGTAGTTTGGCATTGATTTTTAGAAGACGAAATGGGAAGCTCGAAGCATCTATTTCTGAGCCATGGATGCTTTAGCACCCATGTTGAAAAGCCTGTATTAAGGGATGATGTTTCATGCAGCAGTACCAGCTTAAAGTGATTTCCTCCTTTCCACTTTTCCTGCACTCTCATGTCACTGGGCCCCAGGCCTGGATGATACTACAAAGCACAGAAACTTCGGAGAGAGGCCGATCTCTTCTGCCAGGCTGTGGCTGCTGCCAAAGAGGAGAGTCACACGAAACCTTTTCTCCAGCCCTGGCCACATGGTTTGGCTCACTAAGCAAGAAAAAGAGCTAAGTTAGTAAAAGTGAATGAATATATTTCTGTCTGTGTAGCAGACAGCTTTTATGGGTGGCGGGAGCCGAGCACAGCAGCGTTAGGCTCCCAGATTTGTATGGTCTGGTCATGAAGCCCCAGTGTAAAACTAAGTTTTCTGACCCTGTTGACAATTACATTTTTCCTGAGGTAGTCCTGAGAATTTAAGAGCAGTCCTGGTTTCACATAAACATGATACTTCCCACAGAGATCATTTTAGAACACTGAACAGCTATAATTAATTCCAGTGCTACTAACAGCAAAATGATTAGCAAAGGCTGGCAGAGCAGGCCACCGGCAGAAAAAGTAGGCAGTTTAATAGTTGAACATTAAGCTCTAAACTTCCTTAGGGATGTTACGGCTTTTCACTAAAATTTGCAGACATCCGTACCCAGACCTGTGGGGATGCTGGTTGCTGAGGTGAATGACCTGTGGCCTTCACATTCACAGGTCAGCCCCTGGACTTCATGGGGACTGCACACTGACTGAGATAAAAATAAAAAAACACAGAAATCAAATCAAACCCAAAAGGAACAAAAAAAATCCCCTTAGATTTCTATTTCTATTTAAATAATCTAAGGCTGGAGTAAGAAGTTCTCTATGCATGCCAGTGATTTATCCTATAGATGAATGTTTATCTTCTGAATAAACAATAAGCGTGCAGTTACAGTTCATATTTTAACCATTAGCCTGGCAAACTTTCAAAGTCTTTCCAACTATTAAAGCTTCCTGAAAGTGCCAGGAGATCCCTCATCAAAGGTAGGGTTGGTTTGAAAGTCTAGTCCCACGTGGGCTGCACCTGGAGCTGCGAGGCAGAAACGCGTGGGTAAAGCTCGCCTGTCTCCTCATCCCTTCTCCTCATCCTCCGCTCGCCTGTCTCCTCATCCCTTCTCCTCATCCTCCGCTCCCACGTACTCTGCACTCATCCCAGGTGAAACGCTCAGGTCTGTTGTAAAGAGGCAGACAGGGAAGCAAGGGCTGCAATAAACCACCTACCTCTTCCAGCCCTAAGTGATCAGGCGTTATTGCACAACACCACCAAGCTACTAGCTTGTAAAGAGCCTATCTCTTGCCTTCGGGCAAGTTACAAAACTTGTTTTGCCAAATGAACAACCGCACAAGGCAAGAGATCCCAAAGGCTCCCTGCTTCAAAGGGCTCCTCGGTGGTCAAGGGTCATCCAAGGCAGTTGTACCTGGATTATCCTCACAGGCTTCAAAAGAAAGGTCAGAAGTGCGCTGGCATTAACCTGTGCTTTGGCTTTCTCTGAACTATTCCACCGGGAGGATTGAGTAACACTTTGGCGGCGGACACAGATCAGCCGGCTGCGTTCACGGGCAATGAAGACCCACGCGTGCAGTTATGGGGAACACGGAACGATGCTCTAAAAAAATGAATAAAAGCCAGGTATACGCAGAGATCTCAAAACTCAGATTTCGAGCACCGGCTTTTCTCCTTCCGTTTCCTCACATTTAAGCAGCCAGCCGAGCTAGGCAGCTCCGGCACCACAGCTGGAGAGGCGGCCGCCCCGACCCACGGTGAGCGGACCCGCAGAAACCCCCACGCCGGGGGCGGGAGGCCGCAGGCGGCAGCAGCCGCCGCATCCCGCCCGCTCCCGGGAAACTCGAGCTGATCCCGGCAGCGCCGCCGCCCGCGGAGCCCGCGACGCTCCCGCGCGGCGCCGCAGAGCTGAACGTACTGAAATCCCCCTTTTTTGTTTTCCTAATGCACGCGAGGAGGCGGCGGCGCCGCGGGCGCCGCTCCCTACCTGCGCGGCGGCGTTGGGCCGGCGGCCGCGGCGCGCCCGTGTCCCGCGTCGCTCGGCGGCCGCGCCGCCCTCCCGGCCCGCAGCGCCCGGCGGCGACGGAGCAGGAAGCGGAGCGGGACCCGCCGCGAGCGGCAGCCGCGACACGGAGGAAGCGACGGCGGCGGCGGCCGCGCGGCCGCCCCCTAGCGGCGGTGGCGGACCCGGGACCGCCCCGGAACCGCCCCGCGCCCGGCCCGGCCCGGCCCGATCCTGACCCGCCTCTGTCCGGGGGAGAGCCCCGGAGCCGGGAGCGCAGCCCCGGGAGTGCAGCGGGGGGCGCTTGGGAAGCGGAGCTCGGAGGGGGGAGAGAGGGGGGTGAAAAAAGAAAAAAAAAAGAAAAAAGGGGGCGATGAAAAGCGCACATTTCACTGTGTCTGGAATAGTTACTTTTTTTCTTTACATTTTACTCCTCCCCTCCCTTTATTTTCCAGTTAACTCCAGTTATCCAGGAGTTATTTTCTATTGTCTGCATTACAAGCTTTTGTTGTTGTTATTAGTTTAATTTTATTGGTCAGTAGGGCAAAGCTGATCCAACTAACTTACTGCAAAAGGGGGGAAAAAAAAAAAGCACTCAATTCCTCACTCCTGTGTACAGATCAGCCCTATGGCAGATTTTTTTTTCTTTTTTTTTTTTTCTTTTTCTTTTTTTTTTTTTTTAGGTGGGGCACTGATCATCTAACTCTATCAGGGTAAGCAGGTAGGCTTTGAGGGACAGGGACATCAAGGTTGGACTAGATCTCCAGAGGTCCCTTCCAACCTTGAACATTCTGTGGTTCTGTGATCAGGTGGCAGCTGATCTTGATTCTGTAGGACTCTGCCCTGTCAATGTAACTGCCTTAGCTGGCCTGTATTTAGAAATATAGGATGTATATAGAAATATGGGATGTATATAGAAAGTGCTAAGGCGGCAGATCACATTTTTGCATTCAGGCAAATTTGCATTCAGGCAAATTTTACTATTGCCAGACTGCAAGAGGAATATTTTTTTGCAAAATAGGCGTGGTACTTCTTTGGAAACAAAGCCACAGCTAAAACATAGGGAATATCACACATCAGCAAATTCAAATAGGCAAAAAGGAGGTTTGTGTGTCTTATTTGAACCACATCTGGTCATCAGATTTTTCTTTTGACAAGCTTAAAATCACATGCACTTTTACCAGCTGCTCCATGGTACAGAATGGTTGCTTGGTGATCGATCATGTAATTTCCTTATAAAAACTTTACAGCACCCTGAAGTTGCAGACATACCTTAATCTTAGAATTATAGAGAAATTCACAGTGGGGGAAGCCATTATTCCAGAGGGAGAGAGACTTAATAGCTTTGTTTCAAAATATTTGATAAAAATATATCTTGCATTTAACGGATATTAAGAGTATTTAATATATGAAAGTCAACTTTGTTCCTCTGGTTGCTTATCAAGTGGCACATTACATTACATTACATTACGTTACATAACTGACTTAAAAGGTCAGGGTGTTATCAGGGACTGGTTCTTTTGGTAAGTAAGTAAATGTTTGTTATAAATGCAAATCTTTAAAAGTGAGCAGCACTGTCAAATTATTCAAAGAAATATTTTTATAGGCACATTAACCAATACCTTAAAATACATCTGTGACACCACTGGATGATTTCGAAACAGCCAGTGCCCCTGATGGATTTGCCCTCATTTGACTCCAGTGTGCAGTGCTCTGATCACGTACAAGCATCTCAGTGCCAAGTGCGTAACTCTGTGTATCACCAGACTCCCACACAAAGCAGTTGTTTGTGCTCCATGTTCCTCAAATTATAGGTGGCAAGGAAACCTTCATAACTACACAAGGTACAAGACAGTAGGTCTCTTAATGTATTCTATTGGGTAAGCAGCACCTCCCGAGGTTCAGCATATCTAGAAAGGCCATCAGTTGAGTCAAACAGGAACAAAACTATTTGGAGAAACATGCCGGGACTAGGCAAGAGTAACCTCTACAGATTAAGCTGAAATAATTTTGTTTATATGATTTATACTACTAAACCAAAGATTCTTTTTTTTTTTGTTGAGTCTAACACTCCTTTACCAGTTGTTTACTATTGATGAGATTTAGCAATTTTTCTAATTTATCTTGTAATGCAATGGTTATGGCCATTTTGAACTTCTGTAAGAATTAAAAATGAAATCTGTGCCTTTAGGAGATTTATTATTATTAATAATTTATGATTAATTTACCATGTTTGCTTCTGTAAATTAAGAAATTCAGTAATAACAATAGTATAATATATAATGTACTTAGTCACATAATGAAATTCTAAATTTTTAATTTTTAAATCACAAATGTTAATAAAGACTGTAAAACAACAAATAGCTGTTTTTTATCCTTATGCTGATGAATTCTGAATATGAGCTCCACTCTAAACACTTATTCTGATCCTATATTTTACAAACGTCAGAAGCCAAAGTGCCTTAAGCACTGAAATGCATAGGGTTTCAACAAATTTGAACTTCGTGGTTGACCCTGTCCCCCTGATTTCTCATTTGGGAAAATGCCAAATCAAAAGGCTTCCAGATGCTTTGTATCCAGGCTAATGACTACTGTCTGGTCAATCAGCAGTCATGATTTTCTGATATGGCATCAGAGAAATTCTTGATGGCTTTTTTTTTTTTTTTTTGGTAGTATAAATTTGAGATTATGCTAGAAATTAAAACTTCTACCTTAGCAGACCTTTCCATGGAGTTTTGAATGAGCCCGGCATTAGATTGCTGGCAGACACCTAGTTCTCCTAAGCATGGAAAATTTGTGGTATAAAAGTTACTTTTCTCCACAAAACAGCAGAGTCATAGAAAACATTGATCTTGGCATCCAATATGATAAGTGATACATAGTTTAAAGTAATAAGATGCAAACCCCAGGCCATCTTTTAAAAGTTATATATAAAAAAAAAAAAAAAAGAAAAAGAAAAAGAAATGTGAAGAATGTTGCTTAGAGAATGCTCGAGGCAATTTGCCTCAAAGCAAATGGAAAATGTGGTTTTCACCAAGTTGCAAGTCACCTGAACTATAAATAGAAACCAAAATGTGCAAGCACAACATGAAGTCATTTAGACCCTCTCCTCTTTCCTCTTCTTCCCTCTTCCAAACAAGCAAAAGCACGTCGGGAAAAATTGTCCTTGAAATATCATGTTATTAGCTTTCTGGCTGGTGTCATCAAGCATTATAGAAACAGAATGAACCTGTGCCTGAAGGAAAATGTATTATTTGTATGATGTCATAGATATTTGCATCAAATATCTTTTCTGTTTTGTGATCTCTCCCATTGTTTCTATCAGAAGTTTACAAGCAGCCAAAATACCAGATCTGTGATACGAAGAGTCTGAGTGAAAATGGTTAGAAAAAGCAGGTAGTTAAATTCAAATATCTCTCTCATTCCCCCAGTCAGTGATCATAGAAAGCCATCAGGGTGATCAAGAGTCTTTTTCCCCTTTGTAATTCCATGATAGCTACTCTGAGTGATCTCTTGCTCTTCATACATTTTAAAATATGTATATTTCAGGAATGTTTTCTAGGTTTGTTTGCTCCATTGCCTTCCCAGATCAATGAGAGACTGAGTAAACTGTAGCTGTAGCTTCCCTAGACCCCTCTTCTCTCCACAGCTGTGCCCCATGGGGTTCTTCGGAGCAGATCCCTAAACAGACCAAAGTCTGCTCTCCTGACATCTGAGCCTGTGATCAAGTTTTATCCTCCTTCCTCACAGGATACTGAACTCCACCATCACATGATCTCTGCAGTCAAGGCACTGCCCCTGGTTTTCATATCACAGACTAGTCCTGACCAGTCCTTCCTTATTTGTAAGTACTTACACAGTCCAGTATAATGTCTTTCCTGGTCAACTCCTCTATCACCTCTATCAGGAAGCTGTCACCAATGCACTACAAACTCCTCCTGGATTGCTTGTGCCATAGTGTGTTCCTCTTCAGCAGGGTTGGAGGAAACTCAACCAGGATTGCTAATGTCCCCCATGAGGACAAGGGCCTGAGAACATAAAGCTTCTTCCAGCTTCCAGCTGTCTGAAGAAAGCCTCATTTCCTTCTTCCTGAGCAAACAGTCTGTACCATCCATCACAATGTCACCCATGGTGGTCTGGCCTCTAATCCTGACCCATAAGCTCTCAACTGGCTCATTATCCATTCCTAGGCAGAGGTCCATGCATTCCTTTTGCTCTCTCACAAAAATAATAATTTCTTCCCTCTGCCCTGGCCTGTTCTTCCTACAGAGTTTGTATCCATCTATTGCAGCACCGCTGTTATATGAATCTCTGTGATCCCAATGACATATTGGATGCCTGCAACTGCTTGTAGAGCTCTAATTCTTCCTATTTGTTCCCTGTGTTGCATACGTTAGTTTACAGGCACTTCAGATTGGAACACAATTGTGCTGCTTTCCCAGAATAGTTATGAGAGCTTTTTCTATAACCATGTCCTGTAGGCACTTCGTTATTTTTGTGCATATGCTTGAGCTAGACTAAATTCAACCTCATTTTGCTGATTATAAGCTCTCTCTTGCCCACATCACCCTGTATGCTTTGCTTGCCAAACTGGACCACCACTTCCTTCCTAGACTGGAAGCTGTCCTGGCCAGTGTATGAGCAGAGATGGTTTTACCTGGCTTTGTCAAGTGGATCCTATGCCTTCCTAGCAGTCTTCAACCCTCAAAGGCCCTATGGTCTTAAAAACAAAACTCTGTTCTCACGTGAGCATCAGCTGTACAACCAGCAGGATCCATCTAGTCCTCAAGTCCTTCCTCTCTGCCAGCAGGAATGAGAAGAAAATACCTGGATCCTTGATGCTCACTCACAAAGCCATGTAGTCATTCTGGATATACTGAAGGTATACCTTGAAGTATCTTCGGTGTCCATGTGGAAGAGCAGCAGATAATAGTCTGATGGCTGGATGAGTCTTGTCAGTCTTTCTTCAATGTCTGAGCATGGAGCCTACAGCAGATTTCCATAACCAGGAGATTATGGGGGGTTGGTG